GCTTTTATACCATTAAGTGTCCTGGCTATTAAACGAGAATATTCTATTTATGCCCAAGAGCCTGGCTGAGTATTTGTTTTATTCAAGCAAAACCTTATTTGTTTCTTTATCTTTTAGTTCTTCTTTAGTAAAGATTGTTCTTATCATTTCGATTCCAAGTGACATTACTCATATTTCTTCAAGATTGGTTTTGAAGTGTTTATGCTACTTAAAATAGGTCTTTATTCTAGTCTTGATTTTTATCTTATAGATATCAATATTTTTAACATCTCCATATCTTTTTAGATATTCTTTATATAACTTCTGGAGAGTTTATATTCCATATCCACTAGATTTATATACTATATATCTTTGCTTTCTTCTAAATTATAGATTTGGAATATCTTTTTCTCTATCTTATTTATAGCCGATTGATCCATATATTCTTCTTTTCTTGGTTCTAGTTATTGAAGACTGAAGGTTTCCTTCTTTCTGTTTGCCTTATCTAAACATTTAAGAAGATCTTCTTCTTTTTTAAAGTGAAAAATTAATCATTCATTATCATTAATAAAACTTTTATGAAGAAGGTTTTGTTTATCCTGAGATTGGTTTAATATATTGTACAGATAAGCTTTAGTTTTCTTTTCTGAGTTTTCTGAAATGTTTGCTATTATGGCTTTTAATCAATATACTCCTTTTTTACTTATGTAATATGAATTTGAAGTGGGATTTATAGCTCTATTTCTTGTATTGTAGGAGCTACATTCACTTATATTTTAATCTTTAATCTTTCTCTTAGCATTTCAAATTCTATTTCCTCTTCTATCTCTTCTTGTTCTTAAACAAACATTAGATCTTGTGATCTTATTGTCTATTGCTAAATCATTTACTATTTGAATGATAATCTCCATAAGAAAGGTTTTTATATCTTTTGATACATTTTTTTCTTTTTTAATTATTTTAATAAGTCCATTTTTAATATACAGCTAAAGTTGATTCTTTTCTTTTTCTTTTTCAAGCTATTAAAGATAGATTATATATTGTATTAAGATTTATTCTTTATAAAATATATCTTGTTTATTCACAAAAAATAATATTTTGAAATAAGAAAAAATTTTTCATAGCCAATAATTTTCAAATCTATATCAAAAAACCTATTCTTCTTATTATCAACTGAAATTCTTAAGATTCTAAAACTATTCAATCTAAAATAAAGAGTATTATAGTTTATGAAATCAATAAAAAAGATTACGCAAGATTTTTAAATATCTGATTGGAATCAAAACAGAGTAATAAAAATATTATCAATTTAATAAAATTAAAAATTAGAATAGTGATATAAGCAATAAACAAAAAAAAATTAATAGAAAATAAGCATAATATATTATCAATAGAGTTTTGATTCTAAAAATAAAATATACTTTAATAAAAATATATATAATAATCACACAACCATATACAAAAAGATATTTAAAAACAAGGCCTTCATTTATAAAACAATATCAAATAGTTATATTTATAACAAAAAATAATATAAACTTAAAAGTATTTAAAAAATACAATTGAAAAGTTATATATTATTTTTATTCTATTAATTTAATAACAATAATACCTTTGATATTATTATTATAATCTATCTAAATCAAAATTAAATCAAATACTAAAAATTAGATAATATTTTGAAGAATCTTATAAAGTCAAATAGACTTATTAAGAGAAATTTTGTAGCAGTAATATTGGCTTTTGTTCAAAAATTGTAAATTACACTTCAAAGTTAAAAATAAAAGTGTATATTTAACTATTAAAGAGATATGCTATCTATTAAATCCATTTTATAGAATAACAAATAATATAAAAAGTTATTTTATTCTTATATACTATAGATATAAAATTATTTTCTTAAATCAATTTATCAATATTACTACAATAATATTTAGAGACTAGAGAATAATTCAAATTTTTTTGATAAATGTAAAGAACTAGTTCTATTCTAATACAAAAATATCTTAAAAAAAGCAATAAAAAACCAGAATCTATTATTAAATTATTATAAATTATTAATTGAATAAGTTATAACTTATAAATAGAACCAATTCCAGTAAATTTTGATAAAAGAAAATATATTGGGCAACTTGTTTTAATACTTTAACTGATATATTAGAAAAGATCACATTTTAAATAATAAAACTTACTTTACTCTATACTAGTTTTTATATAATATTACTAATAATTACTTTTTGCTATATTCAAAAACAATAATTCAACTATTCAAAATAGCTTTCTTATGAGTTTGTTTTTTTTCACAATTAAATATATAAAGAAGTCTAAGAAAAAAAAATTGATTTTTTTTCAAGCAATTTTACAGATTAGTAAATATCTTTTGATTAATAAATAGAAGCTATATCCATTATAAGATCTATGAAAATAAAAGTTTAAGTAAAAAGTTGTAAAATTGTATTGATTAAATAAGCTATTTAATCAAAGAAATATAGATAAAAACTCATAAATATCCTAAAATATAATAAAATAAAAACAAACAATTATTTCATTTTCTATATAAATAGTTTCTTTAAAAAATAGACTAAAAATAATAGATTAGAGATAAATTTTATATAGATTATATTAGAGAATAATAGAATAATTAAGTAATTCTTATTAAAGATTATTAGCAACTAGAGTAAAGATATCAATTATTTTTATTATATTATATATAACACTAAAGTATAAAAGTTTTAATTAATATAGATTATAACATAGCAACTAAGATATAAAAGTTTATATATTTACAAACAGATATATCAGTTAAAAAATAAACTAAAAATGTTAACTTATTACTATAGAAAAAATCAAGTATCTAATAATAAAAAAAATTTTAGTCTAAATATAAATATTAAGGTTTTTAAAAATAATAAGTTAATAATTATATAAATCTCTTTGTAAAGTAGGCAAGATAAATAAATCTAATAGTATGACATTAATTTTCAGATCTAGAAAAAGTTTTAATGATAGCTATATGAAAAAAATATATAATAGATATTAGTATTAAAGACTTTATTAAAACTTTTAATAAAAGAAAGATTAATTCAGACTGATTCTTACAAAAAAGAATTCAAGATTCTTGAATTCAATAGAGTAATAATATAAATTGACCAATTGTTTAAAATCTGTTTAATCTATTAAACATTTTCTATATCTCTTTCAAAGTTAATAAAAACAAAGTTTACTAATTAATCTAACTTATAATAAACTTTTAGTATTACAAATATAGTATTTAGAAAAAAAAATTAAATTTTTATATTATAATTATTTATTTAATATATAAGCTTTAAAAAAAAATATTAGAACATCTTTTTGATATCTGATTACTATAGAAATTAGAGAAAATATATAAATAATAGCAAATAAGAAGCTTATTTATTATATTGATAAAGAAATAAAAGATAAGAAGAAAGTTTTATCTATAACCAGTAATTGGATAAAAAACTAGTTAAATATGATATAGCAATCCAATAGAAGTTTTTTTAATATTATTTATAAATATATAAAAGAAAAAAAAACTATTTTTTTAAAAAGCTATCTTAAAGAACAACTTAAAATTCCTTTAACATTTATATAGATTATAATTAGCAAGCTTTATTAAAAAATATGAAAGAATTTTAAGAAAAAATCTGAAATAGTTAATATATCAAAGTAATAAAATAGAAAAAAGAACTAAATATTACTATAAAAAAAAAAAGATCGAAAAAATTTAAATACAAGTCTAATGAATAGATTATGTAAAATTATGAAATATCTATTTCACTTTCAGTTAAAAGTCCAGGTTAAGAAGAAATAGAAAAAAAACAAGAAAAAGAATTATATAAAGATTATTAAGAATTAAATTTGTTATAAAATAAAATAATTTAATTTTTAACAGTATATAGAATTTAAAATAATTTACAATAATAATCAATAATGATTTGTAGGCAATAATTTTATTGATTAAGAAATATTCCAAATCAGTAAAGAAATAAAATATTATTTCTTAAATTGTATCTAGAAAAATAGTTTTTTGATAATATATAAATCAACATATAAAAGTTAAATAATTTATAAATATAAATATTTATATAATAAAGACAAGCTTGACTGTGATTAAAAAAAAAAAAAAAAAAAAAAAATCAAAGTAGAGTCATTTATTAATAAAAAGTTTGAAAAAAGTTAAATTTTATTAAAAAGTGAATAAATTATATAAAAATCAACTTCTTGTTAAGAAAGAATAGTTTGTTTTTATCATAACTATCTATTATTATACAAACAATAAAAACAAATAACTATAACAACTTCTTTAAAATAAAATTCTATATAAAAATAAAATTATCCTTATGTGAAATTTTAATACAATAATTAATCTAATTAAAGTTCATTCACTTAATAAGAAAGTTTCAAGATATAATAGATCTTTTCAACTTTTTGGAAAATTGGAATTATATAATATCCAAAACTCATGAAAAAAAAGACAATATTTTTACATAGTCAAACTTTCTATAGTAAAATAAACTATATATAAACTAACTTGAAAATATTTCAATTACTTGAGAAACTAATTTCAATATCTTTCAACTTATCGTGAGCTAAGATCTTATAATGATCGGGATAAAATGTGAACTATTTAAGATTATTATGATTATTATTAGAAATATATCCATATTTTATTGCATTATACACATTGATCTTTAATATCTTTGGTACTACTATCATAAACATCACATTAAAGAATTATGCATAAAGTCCTATCAATCGTAAGCAATCAAAAAGCAGTGGTACGCAAGGAAATATACAAAATTGAAGCAGCGTGAGATCATCACAATATATTCGAGCATCATCGCTATCAAACCAAAAAGACATGATCATCTGAATTTTTCCTTTCGAAAAAAAGAGGAAAATTTCCCGTTTATTTATTATTTTTGTTTTCATTACCCTCGAATTATTCTGTTATGAATTTAATAATTGAAAACTCAAACAAAGGAGGTTCCACCAATCTATTCCTGCAACTTTAGAAAAGTTGTTCCTACATTAAAATCCTTCTTAATTTCGCCTGGAGATTCTTTATTATGACGATCAGTAGCACGAGGACTTTGACGCCGTTCTTTTCTGAAAATTATATCATCATCTTTGAACTCGTCATGATTATTCTCTTTCAAGTTAAGTTCTCGAGCACGTAAGGCTTCCTTTTTACTTCGATCATTATCATCAGGAATTATCTTTTTATTGCGGTTTTCAGAGATCATGATGTGATGTTCTTTCTTCCTCATATCATTTTCAACCTTTCTACGATCATGAAGTTGAGGTTTCTTGTATTTATTTTTTCTTTTTTGGATTTTTTCTTGACGATTGGATTCTGCGCGAGTCAAATGAGGTGAGTCAAGTACTCGATTACAAAGATCTAATATAGAATTCGGTGTACTAAATCCAATGTTGGTTAAATTTAACCATTTAATCATGTTTTAAGCACCTCGAATATTCAAAATAACCAAGAAATTTAACTCACGTTGATGATGAGTTGCAATATTCCTTACTGGATTGACATTCTACCATCTTTAATTCGTCCTGTAAACCCTCTTTTGTTTCCTCGGAATTCTCATTGAGGATTATAGTCATCAGATCCGGTTCTTTAACGATAATTGATGACTTTTTATCTTCACGATCATAATCGTATTCCGCATCCGCACTCGGGAGAGCCCAGGGATCTTTTCATGTAAGAGATCACTAAGAGGCTAATATAAAATATCTGATATAGGATTTGATTAATTATAAAATGTACCAGTTAGATCAGCATCGCATTTATCTGAATTTGCTGGAGTAGGAAAGGTAGAATCTTTTCTGCCTAAACGCTGAAGAATCGATGGTTTACGATCTTTTTCTAGCTGAAATTATTAATTATGAATTATAAAATAATTATTGAGTCAAAAATGGATTAGCAATATTTACATTATCACCTAATCAGATACTTGTGACAATATTTACCTGTGGAATAAAAGATGGCATGGTCTCGTCTACACCCATTGGTTCAAAGATGTTGAGTGTAGGTGATGACGGACGTGATGATAAAAATTGATAAACATCTTCCATTTCTACCTTTAAAAATCGTTGAGCTGACGGAAGTTCATGCTTCTCCATATGTAAGCTAGCCTCCCCAATGTACTTTTCATCATAATTTAGATCCATTTTTTTGCAATCTTTATCATTTTGATACATTGATTCGAATGTAACAGGGCGCAAATCTTCACAAAAAAAATCCCATGCTACTAGTCTACTATCTTTTTGTCGAGATTCTTTGGCTTTCTTAATCAATACTTGTATTTTAGCATAACCGTCAATAATCTTGAAAAAATCGGTAATAGGATCGGAAGGTAATTCTTCGATCCCGTTAACTTTTTTATTTTCAAGAGTCGCCTCGCGGTTCCCGTTTTTTGGCTTAAAGAAAATTGCGTTTAGTACATAGTTAAATCCACAATAGAAAATTAAATAACAAAAGTCTACCGATAAATCTAGCTGCATTCCAAACCGCTCGGCGCGCGCGTTGCGTTTATTTTTCTCCTCTTGCGTTAGACCTTGTCATGTTGTTCGATATGAGTCTTTGATTCAAATGAAATGAAAACGAATTCTCTACCTTTTTCTTCATTTTTCCGTTGAGGATTTTGAGTTCTATTTATTATATCATTTGAAGGAGAATTTAATTGACCTGAGACGGGTGAAGAGTTACTTCCTTTTGTGTTAACCCCTGAAAGAATATAAAATTAAATCATATAGTTCTGTCAAAAGCTTTCTATTTTCAATTCTTAGACACCTCTTCGCTTTCCGTTCCTATTCTTAGACTTTTTATTACGCTTGTGCGCCATTAAGTAAGTCCGAAATAAAAGGCCGATTATCGATAATCTATTAAAATAAAAATTATAAATAAAAAAAAATTTTTTATCCATATCCTTAAAACAAGACAGATACAAGACTTTATTAATAATATATTATAAGAAATTATGATCACACATAATTATAGTATGTTATGCTTATAACATGTAAAATATAAAACTCAAGTTATTTGATTAATGGATAGGCCTTATAACTCAAGTTATTTAAGTAATAGTTGGATTATAAAACTCAAGTTCTTAAGTAATAAATAAATTATAAAACTTAAGTTACTTAATTTTTTTTTTTTTTTTAACTCGCAATCATGTCACAATGGCATGTCTTTTATTGAAAAAATGAAAATGAATTTACAATATTTTACAGACCTTCACAAAGTGACTAACTCGTCTTCATACAAAAGTACTCTAAGTCAGATTTTGGGAATAATATTTTACTCCCCTAATAGATTGGTAATAACCTCTATCTACCAGGATCATTGCCAAATAGTTTGTTACTGTTGATTGCCCGAAAATTAATGAATAGCTAAGTTAAAAGGGGAAAGGGGAAGAATGATTTGGGAAAGAGGACAATTTAAGGCTTATCAAAAAAATCCAAAAATAAAAACAACCTCTTCTCAAAAGGGATCTGCCTGATTGGAATAGTCTTCTTACTTTACTTGAACCTTAGAAGAAATCTTTTTTTTCATTACCTGTAGCATTGGATGAGTCAATCCAACTGGTCTTTCATTTAAGTGAGTACCAGATTGGGATATTTCAAGGAAAGTATTTAAACCTCAGCTTTTTTTTATTAAAGCTTTATCTCTACTTAAGAAACTTTGGTAAGAAATGAAAGTTTGCAATCCACATTACCTATTACTTGGTCTTTTGGTGTTATAGAAGTTTTCATTAAGGGATTTGAGCTTTTTTGGAGGCAACTGTTTTCAGAACCTTCTTTCTAATCACCAATGACGTCATCGGAACACGTGATTATGAACAATAGGAGCTTATTTATATTCCAAAAACTAACGTATTTAATGTCAGCCAATCACCTTTGGTGAGGATTTATGCTATCAAA